GAAGACAGGTCTGTGGTCAGAAAGGAAGAGAACACAGAGATGGTATAGCCACTTACTCACCAACCAAAATATCAATATTTGAGCGCAGGCATTTAAGGATTCCTGGCACCCTAAGTCTCCTCCAGTTTTGTAACATAAAAACCCAAAATGCCCTAACTGCTGTGGTATATAGAGCATACCACAGAAACCATATATAAAATACTTCCAAGCACAGAACGAAGAGAAACACATCAATAAAGAACTACATCAAGTGGGGAAGGCCTACAGCAATCAGCCTTCTGAAAGGTAAAGTTTATTTAAGATGAGAACGTTGGCCTTAGAATTTTGGCTCTGCTGCTCAAAGCCGCCCCTTAAGTCCTTGCTCAGGATTTTAGGCAAAGTATGGCCTGAAATGGGAGACATCCCTTGTGGAGACGTGAAAATATCCAGTGATTTTAGACCACTGGCTTTTAATGCCTCAGAACCAGGGATGAGACACTGACAACTGTCCCACCCAAAACACCAAAGGCTCCTCTAAGAAGGTGTGTCAAGATCCTCGAGTGCCCCCGTGCCTGCAACTCCAGCCACTTCCACGGTGTCCCTTACCGGGTTATGTAATACCAGCTCCTTGAGTGCTTGTACGTCCTCATTAAAAGTAGCTGACATGAGAAAAGCCTGGTAAATCCGTGGCAAGTGACTGAAATGAAAGAGTCCAATGAGATTCCAGCTCCAAGAGCCTCTAACTGCGGTAACTGGCTTCCCGCCACCCCACTGTAGTCCCAACTCCTACTCACAGATGCTTCCATTAGGAATCACACCCACCTCTGCCTTACCAGAGGAGACTCTTGAGCTCTTCCTCAAAGCCAAAGGAAAAAAGAAGATCAGCTTCGTCCATCACCAGAAGCTCCAGGGAGTCACGAAGTTTCAAGCTGTCTTGTTGCAAGTGGCTTAATATGCGAGATGGGGTCCCCACTATCACATCTGGCTTCTCCATCAGCACAGCTCTGAAGGTGGGCAAGACATCAGTATCAGGGAGAACGTAGCAGCTGGATCTCAGCCTGGACTTGCTCTCTTCTTTGCCACACATAAACCCAACCCCACAACTCTGTGTAGCTTCATTCAGGTGCCAGCTTTGCTGCTTTTACCCACCTCTGAGAGGCTGAGTCTTCGACAGCTGAGACATTGGCCACTCGGACATCCCGAGCACAGTAGGTAGCCAGCTGCTGAATCATGCACTGTGCTTGTCGTGCCAGTTCCTTCGTAGGAACAAGAACAAGGCCTCTCACTGCCTGTTCTACCACCGGACCTGTCTGTAAGAATATGAATGAAAAACTTTAGCCACCAGTGCATGTCACTGTGTCCACCTGACGCTTTTCTCTACCCCTTCCAGCCTATCTGACCATCTGCTGCCACACTGCTCAGCCGTATTTTGATCATCCATCACTCTGCCCGCCTCAGAATGCTAAGTGTTTTCCCCATGCACTGACCCTCAAAAAGAATAATGTACTCTATGTTTACGAAGCTACTTTAAATTTATGGAGCTAAATTCTCACAATAATTCTATAAGTAGAAAAGAGATGTGCCTTTTTTTTTTTTTTTTTTTGAGACGGAGTTTCGCTCTTGTTACCTAGGCTGGAGTGCAATGGCGCGATCTCGGCTCACCGCAACCTCCGCCTCCTGGGTTCAGGCAATTCTCCTGCCTCAGCCTCCTGAGTAGCTGGGATTACAGGCACGCGCCACCATGCCCAGCTATTTTTTTGTATTTTTAGTATAGACGGGGTTTCACCATGTTGACCAGGATGGTCTCGATCTCTTGACCTCGTGATCCACCCGCCTCGGCCTCCCAAAGTGCTGGGATTACAGGCTTGAGCCACCGCGCCCGGCAGATGTGCCCTTTTTATGTAACAAAGAAAAGAAAGTGTTCTGTTGAAGATTATGCAAAGGTTGGTCATAGCAGGGCCTGGACAAGGATCCAGGTGATCTGAACTCCAGGCCAGCCTGCATGGGTACAGGGCCAAGAGAGAACCTCAGACAAACGGGAACCGCTCTTCCCAGGCTTTTGGGGCTCGCCTCCTTCCTCCCCCCAGCTCTCTCGTTACCCACCGCCTTCCTGTGGAGCAACAGCTGCAGCATCGGAATAGCATAAGCGGCCGTCTTCCCGGAGCCCGTGCGGGCCCGAGCCAGGAGGTCTTTCCCCTCTAGGGCCAGTGGGATGGCCTTTTCCTGGATCAGCGTAGGTCGCGACCAGCCCAGGTCAGTGACAGCCTAGGAGAGACCAGGAGAGCGGCTCAAGCGACGCGAAGAGCGATGGTGTGTCCCGTGGAGCCCGTAAGCCGGCTCCCCAGCCCTCCCGTGTACCTGCAGGAGCCGGGGATCGAGGCCCATGTGTTCAAAGCCCACTGCTTCCGAGTCCGCCATGGCGCTGCTCAGCAGCGACAGCACTCACGCCCTGCAAAAAGAATGCCACCGACGCGGGGTTGGAGCAAAGGAACAACCAATCGGCTTCGGAGACGCCGTTACTTCCCGGAAGTCCTGGCGCCCAGGCTTCCGGTGTTCTGGCGAAGCTCTGCGACTGCGCAGATCCCCGGACTCGGTCTAGGAGAAGGCCGTGGAGCAGCCGTGCTGGGGTCAATGTGTGTATACCGTAACTGCTGTTTTTTCTGTTTGTTTGTTTTGAGACAGTCTTGCTCTGTCGCCAGGCTGGACTGCAGTGGCGCGAGCTCGGCTGACTGCAACCTCCGCCTGCAGGGTTCAAGCAATGCTCCTGCCTCAGCCTCCCAAGTAGCTGGGACTACAGGCGCAGGCCACCATGCCCAGCTAATTTTTCTATTTTTTAGTAGAGACGGGGGTTTCACCATGTTGGCCAGGATGGTCTCGATCTCTTGACCTTATGATCCGCCCGCCTCGGCCTCCCAAAGTGCTGGATTACAGGCGTGAGCCACCGCGTCCGGCCAACTGCTGTTTTTTAAAAAAAGCTTTTTAGGTGGCAACCTATCTGCAGATACGACACGCCAGTATAGAAATTCTTATTCTCCTCACAGCCACCATTTGTTGGCCCATCCACTGGGTATCCCAATTGCACCTGCCCCATCAGTGGAAAGGTGAAATGTATGCCCAGTTTTTCCTCACACCATTACCCTTCCTATCAAAAACTACCGAAACTCAGGACCTACCAGAATAGTTAAGATGTGCTCCTTTGTGTCTACTGCCAGCCAAACCTGTTGAAGGCCGGCCCAACCCTAATCTCTGCCTTCCTGTCTTCTCACAGGCTCGGTCTGATTTGACAGCTATATTTCTAACAGCCACAGAACAGAAATGTGTCCCTTCCCAACATTTCACATCATTCCCAAGAGCCTCAGGCCAGAAGTCTTCTCTGTGTTAACAGGAATACTGAAAACTCTTAAATATCTGAAGAAGTTTAACAATTCACCTTACTGAACTGCTGATAGTGTCATCCAGATTTAGAAATAAGAGGATATAAAAATATTAAATGGAAAAGGAAAAGCCTAGAGAACTAAATTGTTTTTATTTATTTTGAGATGGAGTTTCACTCTGTTGCCCAGGCTGGAATGCAGTGGCTCGATTTCTGCTCACTGCAACCTCCTCCTCCCAGGTTCAAGCAATTCTCCTGCCTCAGCCTCCTGAGTAATGGGATTACAGGCATGCACTACCACGCCTGGCTAATTTTTATATGTTTAGTAAAGATGGGGTTTTGCCATGTTGGCCAGGCCCATCTCAAACTCCTGACCTTAGGTGATCCGCCTGCCTTGGCCTCTCAAAGTGCTGGGATTATAGGCGTAAGCCACTGTGCCTAACCCTAAATTGCATTTTGTTTTTTGGAGATGGGATCACTTTGTTGCCCAGCCTGGAGTGCAGTGGCACAATCACGGCTTGCTGCAGGCTTGACCTGCCTGGGCTCAAGTGATCGTCCCACTTCAGCCTCTCAAGTAGCTGGGACTACAGGCATGTGCCACCTGCTAATTTTTTTGTACCTTTTGTAGAGACAAGATTTTGCCATGTTGCTCAGGCTGGTCTTGAACTCCTGGGCTATAGGAGTTTTTGGCTTCCCAAAGTGCTAGAAATACAGGTGTGAGCCACTGTGCCCAGCCCACATGTATTTTTATGAGTAAAAATAGCTGGGCACAGTGGGGTACACCTGTAGTACCAGCTACTTGGGAGGGTAAGGTAAAAGGATCGCTTGAACCTGGGAGCTCAGGTTGCTTTCAGCTATGTGGCACTACTGCACTCCACCCTTGGGGACAGAGCAAGACCCCATCACACATATATATATACATATATATATATATATATATATATATATGTATACGTATATATATATATACGTATATATATATATATGGCAGGCACAGTGACTCACACTTGTAATCCTAGCACTTTGGGAGGCTGAGGAAGGAAGGACCAGCCTGGCCAACATGGTGAGACTCGGTGGCTCATACTTTTAATCCCAGTATTTTGGGAGGCCAAAGCGGGCAGACACCTTTAATCCCAGCACTTTGGGAGGCCAAAGGGGGAAGATCACCTGAGGTCAAGAGTTCAAGACCAGCCTGGTCAACACGGCAAACGCCTACTAAAAATATAAAAATTAGCTGGGTGTGGTGGCAGGTGCCTGTAATCCCAGCTACTTGGGAATCTGAGGCAGGAGAATCTCTTGAACTCAGGAAGTAGAGGTTGCAGTGAGCCAAGACTGCACTGCTGCACTCCAGCCCGGGCAACAGGGTGAGACTCAATCTCAAAAACAAATAAATAAAAATACAAAAATTATCCAGGCGTCGTGATGGGTGGCTGTAATCCCAGCTACTCAGGAAGCTGAGGCAGAAGAACTGCTTGAACCTGGGAGGCAGAGGTTACAGTGAGCCAAGATCGTGCCACTGCACTCCAGCCTGGGCAATAGAGCAAGACTCAAAAGAAAAAATATATATATATTTATATACACGCATATAAAATAGGCACATATCCCTGTATAGTATAGGACATAAGGAGAAATAACAAAAGGAGAATAATTTAGTTCTGTAGGTCAGATAATTTAATACATATTTTAAATAAATATATAATAAAAACTGAAATAAAATGTCAAGAATGGGGAACTAATGGCATTAAGTTTTATATAGAAGGGCATGAGGGAAATAGCTTAAAATTTGTTCAGATTTATGATTCAGAGGGCTAAGAAACAAGGTACTTAATTTCCTCAGATGATTCCTTGCAGATATGTGGTCTATTTGGTTGACCTTTGCGAATGGTTGAGCAGCCACCCCGTGTATTCCCATAGCCCCTGGACTGCCTGTCCAGGACAAACCTTAGCACCACCAGTCCACAGTGAAGTGCACTCCAGGTCATCTGGCAGTCCAGATACCTTTCCTCTTTTCCTTTAGATGCCTCCCCTCTGCCCACAACCTCTTATTTCAAACACAGCTATTACAACATGTTTTATTTCACTGGAAAATGCTGTAAAGAACCACTGACGAAAACATTTCGCACAGCTTAAATAAAAATTGAAAGGAAGGATAAGAGTGCACTGCCCCATGCTAGTTCTGTTGCCACCTTACCTCTGACTCTGAGGCCCTGTGGGATGAAAAGCAGGTATCCAAGAGAATTCTGCTTGGCAGAGCAGCCCCAACGCCGGCTTTCTGCCCCACAGGCTGCTGAAATCCTAGGAGCTGCCATGGGAGTTACCAAAAATGTGTGAATAAACAGAATGCAGAGGCTGAGATGGGTGGATCACCTGAGGTCAAGAGTTCAAGACCAGCCTGGCCAACATGGTGAAACCCTGTCTCTACTAAAAATACAAAAATTAGCTGGTCATGATGGTGGGCACCTGTAATCCCAGCTACTTGGGAGGCTGAGGTGGGAGAATCACTTGAACACGGGAGGCAGAGGTTGCCAGTGAGCCAAGATCACGCCATTGCGCTCCAGCCTGGGCGACGAGAGCAAAACTCTGACTCAAAAAAAGAAACAAAAAAACAAAACAGAATGCAGAAGGATTGCATTGGTGTTCTAAGCCATTTACAGGCAGTAAAACTTCTACTAGGAAGGAAAATATATAATTTATCAAAAAATAGTTCTAAGATATAGAAAAACATCTCACTTCTTTAGGGTCAAGACCTGCCCCTTATTTACATTCACAAAGCCATGGAGTGAACCCAGCAGACAGTGAGGCAAGGCCTGCTCTGTGGCGCATGCCAGTCACCTACTGCATAAGCAGACAAAGGGAAACAGAAAGTAATGGAGAGATTTTTCATTTGCTTATTTCGTGAAAAACAGAGAGAAATCACTCGAGGCAAAAGAAGCAAAACTGAGTCCTGGGTTAGCTTTGATTTCCTACAAGCCCTAAGATGGATGTTGCAAGACTGGACTAATGTCCTGTGTCTTTGAGAACCAGGGTTGGTAAGTGGCTCATCTGAATGGTTTGTGGCCATGGGACCAATGTGACTTATTATTTTTCATTTTTTTTTCCTAAAAATCCAGGTGGATAAAGGACTGTATCGGGAAAGTACCAAATAAATGAGGTAAAAAGGAAGGGTCATACAAAGAGAGCACTACACCAGCTTCTTGGCCTCAAAGAAGCTCTTGAGGTGACGCATCTGCCAGATGCCAGTGAGGATGAGGATGACAGTCTGAGCAATGGACCACCATAGGACCCTCTGGTTGGTGCTCTCGCTGGTCAGTCGAAAGCGCTCTTCACGATACTGTGTGGGGCAACACAGGATTAAATGAGCAGGAGAAACAGTCCCTGGCTGTTGTGAGGACCCTCCCTGCATGTAACTACTCAACTCAGGACCAAACTCCTTTTGGAATACTACCTGTGACTCCGTTAGGAGTGCTACGGTCTCCCCACTGAGGCTGCCCCAAGAAAGGGATGGGCTGTCCCTCCTTAAGCATCTCTGTTGGGACTGAAATCATGATCCTACCACTTCCAACAAGATCTCCCCCCTCAAAAAAAACAGGTAGGCAATGGCTGTTACTAGATTGTGAACTGCCCTTTTTTCACTTTATTTTATAGAGCTTAAAAATGACTACTGAAAGCAAAATGTGGTATATGCATACAATGGAATACTAGCCTTAAGGAAAAAAATTCTGACACATGCTATATAACATGGATGAACTTTGAGAACATCATGCTCAGTGAAATAAACCAGTCATGGAAAGGACAAATACTGAATGATTCCACTTATATGAGGTAGGGTAGTCCGGACCATAGAGACAGAAAATAAAATGGTGGGTGTCAGGAGAAAGGGAAATGGGGAATTATTGTTTATATTAAGTACATATTTGCTGGGTGCAGCAGCTCAGACCTGTAATCCCAGTACTTTGGGAGGCTGGGGTTAGGTAGATCACCTGAGGTCAGGAGTTCAGCCTGGCCGACATGGTGAAACTCTGCCTCTACTAAAAATACAAAACTTAGCCGGGCGTGGTGGCGCATGCCTGTGATCCCAGTTACTCGGGAGGCTGAGGCAGAAGAATTGCTTGAACCTGGGAGGCAGAGGTTGCACTGAGCAGAGATCGCACCACTACACTCCAGCCTGGACAACAGAGCAAGACTCTGTCTCTAAATAAATAAATACAGATTTTTAGTTTGAGAAGATGAAAAAGTTCTGGAGCTGGATGATGGTGCTGGTAACACAACATTAGGAATGCACTTAATACCACTAAACTATACGCTTAGAAACAGTTAAAATGGCACATTTTGTGTTATGTGTATTTCACCACAATAAAAAGTTTTGATTTAAAAAACAAGTTGGGCGAGGTGGCTCACGCCTGTAATCCCAGCACTTTGGGAGGCCAAGGTGGGAGGATCACCTGAGGTCGGGAGTTCCAAACCAGCCTGGCCAACATGGAGAAACATCGTCTCTACAAAATTAGCCAGGTGTGGTGGTGCATGCCTGTAATCCCAGCTACTCAGAAGGCTGAGGCAGAAGAATTGCTTGAACCTAGGAGGCAGCGGTCAAGATCATGCCATTGCACTCCAGCCTGGGCAACAAGAGTGAAACTCCATCTCAAACAAACAAACAAACAAAAATATCCAGACCAATACCTTTCATTCCATTGTCTGCAGAGCTGTCCAAGCAGAAATTTGAGTAGGTATAGTGGGTATAAAGGTCAACTGCTCTCTCCAATTACAAGGAGATATGCCCTTACCCTTTGGTAATCCTGCTCCTTCTGAATCTGTTCCACCTGATCAAGTAACTGGCGGGCACGGAGCTGTAGCTCCGTCAGCTTATCTTTTGCAGCAATCTCAGGGTAGTTGTTGGTGTGCTCCCCAACCTGGATGCCAAGGTGCACACGCTACAAGAAAACATGGAATGTCTGAATGGTGAGGCCTCCAGTTGTCTGTTCCAGGGTATAGAACCCACTCTTGTCCCTGGCTGTGGAGCAGAGGGCAACAATCTCTCTCCCTAATTCTGACTGTGCTACAAAGTTTCACAATAATGATAAATCAAAATTTGTAAACAAGTGAGAGATGCTAAGCTGAAGCCAAAGAGAAAATCCTTTTACCAGTTTGCCACCAGCGAAGAGAGCCATCCTGGTAGAGTTGGAGTGCAGACAGATTTGATGGTCACCAGGAGTGTGGGAGGTGAACGTGAAGCGGCCCTCCGAACCGTACTGCCGGGACAGCACCACCTACAGCATGTGTCAGTGGAAGGCCCCACCTTTATACCGCAGCCTCTCCAAGTGCAAGCTCCTGTCCCTTGAGGCCTCGACCAGGCAGGGCTGTATACCCGACGGGAGCTCCACTGAAGACGGGCTGCGTGGGCTAGAGCCAGTCTTACCTTGCCGTCGGGGTCCTTCACTTCCACGTGCATGCCCAGGCCAGGGGTCGAGGGCAGGAAAACCTCCTTCTGCTTATCCCACATCTGGGTACGATAGTTGCCTACGGGGCAGACACATAGTCACGACCCGGCCCCCTCCGACGTGTGACCCGGGGCTCTAGGCAGGGGGCCTGGCGTCCTCGGGGCACCCTAAGGCTAGGTATGGGGGTGCCAGCGACCCGGCTGGGCTCGGGAGGAGGGAGCGCTGCCGAGGGCCGAGCGGGGTACAAAGGGCCTCCCCACCCTCAGCCCGCCTGACCGATGACCATGGTCTCGTCGGGGATTTCCTCGATGAAGCAGCGCTTCTCGGTCTCGCCGATGTGAAAATAGAGTCCTCGGGAGCCTGTGGCGCACAGAGCGAGAAGCAGCAGTACCTGCTGCCACATCGCCAGCGAAGGCCCAGCCCGGACACCTGCCATCGCGCCTCACTTCCCCCCACGCGCCTGCGCACAGGTGCGCACCGCTCTGAGCCTGCGCGCCAGCCCAGCGACGCTGGAAAGAAAGCGCCTGCGCAGTGATGTCCGCCCGTCGTCTCCTGCTCCCCACCGAACACTGCCCCGCCCCGAGTCTCGCCCACTCACCTAGCCTGGCGCCCGGACACCCCCGCAACAAGGGTAGAGAGCGCATGCGCAATGATCCCCGCCCTCCATTTCTCACCCCGTTACATCAGAGTACCTCCTGCGCCTCTGCTGTTCTGCGCCTGCGCGCTGCCACAGCGACGCCATTCAGAGAAAGGGCGCCTGCTAGCTGTACCCAGCTGCGCCGCGGGGGAGAGGCGTCTGCGCAGTCACGCCCGCCTGCAGCCCCAGTTACTGATTTGGGTCACGGAGCACCAAGGGAAACGTTGGATGGAATATGGCCAGGCTTGGTGGCTACGATGGCCTGAAGCGTTCCTTTGGGTTCTCAACGCGGGCTCTCGAGTGTTTTCTGTGCCAAAAACAAAGAAAAAGTCCTGTGATGTTTTCCTCTGCGTGTCTACCTATCTGATTCCTCAGAACCGAGGCAGAATCCAGACCCCCACCCTGTCACGTTGGGAGAGCCTGCCGCGGCTAGGCTTTGCGAGACGGCATTTCTTGGGTGGGGACCAAAAGCCCAGTGGTACCATAGTTTCGGATCATTCTTTTTTTTTTTTTTTTTTTTTCATGTCAGATCATTCTTTTAAGAAGCTGGGGCCCTTGGCCGGGCGTAGTGGTTCACGCCTGTAACCCAAACACTTTGGAGGCCGAGGCAGGCGGATCACCTGAGGTGGGGAATTCAAGGCCAGCCTGACCAACATGGTGAAACCCTGTCTTTATTCAAAAAAAAAAAAAAAAAGCTGGGGCCCGGCGCGATGGCTGACACCAGTAATCCCAGTCTCTACAAAAAAATACAAAAAACTAACCGGCGTGGTGGTATGCACCTGTAGTCCCAACTACTTGGGAGGCTGAGGCAGGAGAATCGCTAGAATGCAGGAAGCAGAGGTTGCAGTGAGTCAGGATCCCGCCACTGCACTCCAGCCTGGGTGATAGAGTGAGACTCTGTCTCAAAACAAACAAAAAAGCCTATATATATATATATATATATATATAAATTCCTCTTCTCTTTTTGTTGTTATTCATGCTATTTACTAATTAAAGAAACTGGGTCATTTGCCCAACAGAATTTTCGACTTTCTGGGTTTTGCTGATTGTATCTTCATGCGTCATTTAACTTTTTTTTTTTTTTTTTTTTTTTTTTTGGCCCTGGCATGTCCTGTAATCAGTTAACTCTAGAGTCAGGGGAGGTTTACAGTGAAACTAATATTATAATTTTGTGTCTTTTTCTTAAAGAGGACTGTGAAATTTGTATAGCTTTTTGTTGTTGGTTTTCTTTTGAGACGGAGTTTCACTCTTGTTGCCCAGGCTGGATAGGGTGATCTCAGCTCACTGCAAACCCCGCCTCCCAGGATCAAGCAATTCTCATGCTTCAGCCTCCTGAGTAGCTGGGATTACAGACATGTGCCACCATGCCCAGCTAATTTTTTGTGTTTTTAGTAGAAACAAGAGTTTCACCATATTGTCCAGGCTGGTTTTGAACTCATGACCTCAGGTGATCCACCTGGCCTGGGCCTCCCAAAGTGTTGGGATTACAGGCGTGGGCCACTGCTCCCATCAGAAATTTGTGTAGTTTAAGGCTCCACAAAGCTTGGATTTATCCCTGGCTAGAGGCTTCACTAGGTTCAGGTTTAATGTTGAGGTTTGGGTTTGTTTTATTGGCAAGAATACTTAATGGCTAGCACTGTGTACTTCTATTGAGGCACGAGGTGGGGTAGACTTCTAGTAATAATTGTAATTTATCGGCTGGGCGCGGTGGCTCAAGCCTGTAATCCCAGCACTTTGGGAGGCTAAGACGGGTGGATCACGAGGCCAAGAGATCTAGACCATCCTGGTCAACATGGTGAAACCCTGTCTCTACTAAAAATACAAAAAATTAGTTGGGCATGGTGGCACGTGCCTGTAATCCCAGCTACTCAGGAGGCTGAGGCAGGAGAATTGCCTGAACCCAGGAGGCGGAGGTTGCGGTGAGCCGACATGGCGCCATTGCACTCCACCCTAGGTAACAAGAGCGAAACTCCGTCTCAAAAAAAAAAAAAGAAAATAATTGTAATTTATCTCTCAATTCAGGGGTCGTCATTCTGGTTATCCATCATAAAGTTTACTATCAGCCTTTCTTTTAATAGTCTAGCAAATGTTGATGATCATTAGACCAGTGGTTCTCAACCAGGGTTGATTTTGCCCTGTCCTACCAAGGGGGAATTTGGCAATGTCAGGAGATATTTTGGATTGTTGCAACTGGGTGGGGGCTGGAGGGTTGTTACTGCTGTTACCTAGAAAGTGAAGGCAACCAATACTGCTAAACACTGTATAATTCACAGAACACAACCTCACACCCCACTCCCACTCCACAGCAAAGAATTATCCAGTTCAAAATGTCAGTAGTACTGGGTTGAGAAACCCTAGTGTAGATTTATGATGTTCCTTAGGGGTGCAAAGTGTTGATTTCGAATGCTCTCATGCCTCCTGCATTTTTAAGATGAGATTCTTTCACAAAGATGAGAGTTCCCTCATCTCTCTGATTACTTTGAAATATAACCCATTCAGGATGGCCAGGATGTGTGCTTGATGCTTTCCTGGGCGCAGTGGCTATGCCTACAATCCCAGCACTTTGGGAGGCCAAGACAGGAGGACTGCTTGAGTCCAGGAAATGGTAAGATCCCCCTTTACAAAATACTGAAAAATCAGATGGGCCTGGAGATGCATGCCTGTAATTCCAGCTGCTTGGGAGGCTGAGGCTGGGAGGTGGCTAGAGCCCAGGAGGTTAAGGATACAGTGAGCCGTGATGGTGCCACATCACTCTAGCCTGGGTAACTGAGTGAGACCTTGTCTCAAATAATAATAGTAATTATAATAATGATGGATGGATGCCCCAGCATCCATCATCACCTCTATCTGTGACCAATTTGGGTTTCTTGGGGAGGAGGAGCAGTGCTCTCATGAATTGATGGATGTTTGGATATTTGATGTGCTTTAATCCATTATAGTCATTGTCCTTTTTTAAATGTTCAGATTGTCTCATTGAATATTGAGTTACTTCTATGCCTTGTGGCACAATCCTAGTAGTCCACAATCCTTGTAGTCTTTAGGTCAAGCTTGTCCAACCCGTGGCCCATGCAGCTCAACACAAATTCAGAAACTTTCTAAAGACATCAGGAGATTTTTTTTTTTTTCTGTATGAATCTGTTTTCAAGGACATTTTTTTTAGTGAGGTTTTTTTTGTTCTTGCTGTTTTGTTTTTTTAGTTCACTGGCTGTTGTTAGTGTACTTTATGTGTGGCCCAAGACAATTCTTCTTCTTCCAATGTGGCCCAGGGAAGCGAAAAGATTGGACACCCTGGGCTTCCTTGCTTTCTGTTTTATATATTTACTGCCCTAGAAACAAAATCAACCATTTCTCCAAGGAACCCTAAAATTCACTTTAGTGAGAAATGGTATTTGTACTGGCAAACTTTTTATTTTCTTCTTTCTTTAAAAAAAGGATCCTGAAATTTGTCTTCATTCAAATATATTAAAGAGACTGTATTCTCCGCAGTAGGAAGTTTAACTTAGGAGGCCAGGCACAGTGGCTCATGCCTGTAATCCCAGCACTTTGGGAGGCCAAGGCAGGAAGATTGCTTGAGTACAGAAGTTCAAGACCAGGCCGGGCGCGGTGGCTCAAGCCTGTAATCCCAGCACTTTGGGAGGCCGAGGCGGGTGGATCATAAGGTCAAGAGATCGAGACCATCCTGGTCAACATGGTGAAACCCCGTCTCTACTAAAAATACAAAAAAAAGTAGCTGGGCGTGGTGGCGCGTGCCTGTAATCCCAGCTACTAGGAGGCTGAGGCAGGAGAATTGCCTGAGCCCAGGAGGCGGAGGTTGCGGTGAGCCGAGATCGCGCCATTGCACTCCAGCCTGGGTAACAAGAGCGAAACTCCGTCTCAAAAAAAAAAAAAAGAAGTTCAAGACCAGTCTGGGCTACATGGTGACACCCTGTCTCTACCAAAAACAAAAAAAAAATAGCCAGGCATGGTGGCATGGGCCTGTAGAACCAACCACTCGGGAGGCTGAGGTGGGAGGATCACTTGACCCCCAGAAGGTTGAGGGTGCAGTGAGCCATGATGGTGCCACTGCACTCCAGCCTGCGCAACAGAATGAGACCCTGTCTCCAAAAAAGGAAGAAAATTTTTTTTTTTCTTGAGACAGAGTTTCACTCTTGTTACCCAGGCTGGAGTGCAATGGCGTGATCTTGGCTCACCGCAACCTCCGCCTCCTGGGTTCAAGCAATTCTCCTGCCTCAGCCTCCTGAGTAGCTGGGATTACAGGCACGTGCCACCATGCCCAGCTAATTTTTTGTATTTTTAGTAGAGACGGGGTTTCATCATGTTGACCAGGATGGTCTCGATCTCTTGACCTCGTGATCCACCCGCCTCAGCCTCCCAAAGTGCTGGAATTACAGGCTTGAGCCACCGCGCCCGGCCAGGAAGAAAATTTAACTTACGGATTCTAATTCCCCAGATGAGATTTTTCTGCTCAGAAGCCATGAGGCAATTTCTGCCAACATTTGTCTAGGCTCTTTGTCTAGACCAGCCACCCCTTCCTCCTCTTGTTCAACCAATATGTGCTAGCCAGCCATTTGTGACAGCCACTGTTCCAATGGGAAAACATGGGTGACCAAAACAAAAATCCTTGTCTAGGCCAGGCTCGGTGGCTCATGCCTGTAATCCCAGCATTTTGGGAGGCCAAGGCAGGTGGATCATCTGAACTCAGAAGTTCGAGACCATCCTGGACAACATGGTAAAACCCCATCTCTACCAAAAATACAAAAAATTAGCCAGGCAGTGACATGCACCTGTAGTCCCAGCTTCTTGGGAGACTGAGGTGGGGGACTTCACTTGAGCCTGAGAGGCAGAGGTTGCAGTGAGCCGAGACTGTGCCACTGCACTCCAGGCCTGGGTGACAGAGTCAGGCCCTGTCTCAAAAAGCAACAAACAACAACAATAAATCCTTGTCTTCAGCCGGGCGCGGTGGCTCAAGCCTGTAATCCCAGCACTTTGGGAGGCGGAGGCGGGTGAATCACGAGGTCAAGAGATCGAGACCATCCTGGTCAACATGGTGAAACCCCGTCTCTACTAAAAATACAAAAAAATTAGCTGGGCATGGTGGCACATGCCTGTAATCCCAGCTACTCAGGAGGCTGAGGCAGGAGAATTGCCTGAACCCAGGAGGCGGAGGTTGCGGTGAGCCGAGATCGCGCCATTGCACTCCAGCCTGGGTAACAAGAGCAAAACTCCGTCTCAAAAAAAAAAAAAAAAAAAAAAAAAATCCTTGTCTTCATGGCTTTATCTTGATTGTTGTCTGCCCAACAAGATAAA